GCCGGCGGTGCCTGGATGTTCCCACACGTACCTCGTGCATGGCGTTGATGGAATGTGTCCCAGTGACCAGCAAGAGTGTTGGATTTTTGTTTAAAACCATCCCTCCAACAATCACGGAAGTGCATGGAAAATGCCCCCCCTGGACAAATTGGGGGTTGTTCACAAAACCATGTTTGTTGCAGCGGCTACGCTGGACAAACCCAAAGATCAAAGGCTGCGTCCACATGAGGACCTATTGCTAAAGTCCTGAAACTTCGCATGATATTATACAATATTGGTATTACGCAACGTGGCTCAGACGTGCGTAGTATTTATATATTATATGTCTGCTCGACATGCAAAATGCATGTCTCCACTGCAATCTCCAGCAGTTCTATCAGTAGGAGGGGTCATTTTTTTAAATCTCTCTCTCGAGCTTTGTGGTTTGGCCTCATCTTTGGTGTAGCATGGTGTAACTCTTCAAGCAAGGATATGCCTGTTTACCAGATGACCCATCCAAACGGATCCCCTGAAAGGTGTCTTCCAGTTTGGCCACTTCTTAAAGAAGGAACTGCATGTCCTATGCAGCTCTGCAGGGCTCGAGCTGATTCTGTTTCTGAAGTTTTCTCTACACTCCCTGGAACTAACATGGAAGTGGACCATTGCCTCTTGAAAGACAATTTTCCTCTACAAACAGGGTGCTTTCCATTTCCATGTTAGTTTAGTTTTCGGGAGAGTACACTCCCTGGAATCATGATGGAAATGGATGGCCACATTTCCACCCAAAATCAGAGGACCAATCCACATACATCCGTTTGGACCAACCGAACGGTGCTGTTCATTCATGGCTAAACGACCCACGGTGCTGGGAGTATGACGAGGATTTCATGGCTCGGAGGTGACACCCGAGGAAACTGCTACATGCCCTATAGCGTTCCTGTCCCATATCCTCAGGTTCGGTGGTTAGACCCCAAATCCACCACACCACCACCTTCAAAACGGAGGTAGGCCAGCTTGAGGGATGATGGTTCAACCCATCTGCGAACGGGTCCAGACTCTGAGCCAAACGAACGGGTCGAGTGTACAAGTAGAGCCGACGGACCGTGCGGGACATGTATCCGAAGTCGACTGGGACATGAATCAAACAAAAAACATGTATAAAATAGACCATACGAATATTGATGATGTAAGAATAAATGTACCCATTTTATGAAGTAGCGGGTCGACTCCACATCTATGTGTCCATACATCATATGTCTCCCTTCTCGATCGTCTCGTCTGTCGTCTCTTCATCGTTCATCGGTCATGGGAACCCAGGTCACTCGGACATGTCGTAGATATGGCCGTGGAGTGCCACCCAAAGATCTCCCTCTGCACGGTGCTTTTCCAGCTCCTCTGGCGGCTACAGCGGCCTCTCTGGCCGGCATCACCAACCGGTGCCGCATCGGCAGGAGGCGATGGAGGATGTACACCGGTTTCAGAGGCTTAGAACCGCACGCACCCAAAAATATCACTTTTACTATCACTTATATATTGGGATATATTGGGATCCATATCTAATACCACCGAACTTGGAGATTGTGCCATCTCATCTAACTCTAAAACCACTGCACCAGCACGCGATTTCCTTGCCAGATCACCAATTGAGACCTCCAACACAGGCAGTGAGGGTGCTGGTGTATATATCTTATATATATATAATATATATATATATGGAACATGTCCCACCAATGGCAATCTGCAAGAAGGCCCGCATCAATGCCACAATCAAATGTGCAAAAGGATGCAACATGACATGGATCGCCATGACCCGGACCAACCCCACGACCGGACCAACAAAGGTTCAAGAACCAAGAAGTTGGATAGCCTGCAGCGGCCTGCAGCTAGCTATCTTAGAGAATCATCATAATAAGAATCATCTTTATCATATATTCATCATTCATCTTCTTCATCCTAAACCGTTGGATTCTACAAACTCCCATCTTCTTCTCCAAAACCCTCTTTCTACCCCACTTCACCCACTTCTCTGTTCATCCAAGCCCTCCAATTTGCCCACACCGTGAAGCAACTCGCTGCTCCTGCTGGGTGATCTTGGGGAGCGACGTGATGCTGGGGGTCCTCTCCGAAGCCTTCGGCGTCGCTACTAGTAGCAAGAAGCTATGAACGTAGCTATTGGCTGCTAGTAGTTAATGCACTGGTCAACGCAACCTACATCTCTTCCTCTCCGAAGCCTTCGGCATGTTTGCTTAGGAAACCACCAGGATGTGCAGAAACAACATCTTCTCCGTCAAAAACCAGTCAAAACATGTCGGAGTCGAAACCACGTCTTTTTATGTATAATGCCATCGTCGGATTAATCAACGGCTCCCCGCTTCGAGGTCAACAAGGTTTGAGATTGGAGGTATTGGAGACCAGATCCCCCCTGATAAAGGTGATCCCCTGATGATGGATGGTGAGATGGTGACCTGGACCTGATGGTGGGTGATGGTTGATGGGATTCTGTGTGAATCATGAGAGTTTGAACCATGAGAACCATGAGAGCAGAGAGCTCTTAGTATATTGGCACAAGCTTGATAAGAGATCTGATAGATCAAAGCCGTGCCAGAACTGAAAGGAACGTACATAATAATCATAGTCATAATCATAGTATATTACTGTATAGTAAACTATTTGTTTTATCCGTTTTATGTTTCCTGGGGCAGCTGGGCTTGATGCATAGGGGGAGGTTTCTGCCAAGAAAAAACACAATTAGGGGGATGTCAATGTGGAAATTTAGTATTGGGAGCTCGAGCTGGGCATGATTAATAAGGGGATCGAGGTTTATTAATGCTAGGTGCGCATTCATCAAGTGACCTCGTGCACCAACCAGTCAAAACAACTGTTGTTTGTTCTCTCGCCTTCCCTTTCCCGTATAATCAAATAGTGATCTCGTTCACATACCAGTCAAAACCAAGCTACCAAGCTTTCCAAATAAGTATCCCAAACTTCCAGGGGTCCCTACTGGACCCTGGACATTCCCAAGACCCGGACATACAAATTGCCTTTCGATCAAACGAAAAGGCCTACATTCACTCTGTCCACCCGAGTCGCTGCTATGATCTGAGGCTTGACATCGCCGGCACTGGCACCTCATTCATCAGCGCGCGTGACCACAAAGTGCGGGAGGGAGGAAGGAAGGGAAGTTTCTTCTCACACATCGCTATTAGGTTGGAGGCCATTGCTCTTTCATTTTGACTTTGACGTTGGCTGATGTTGTGACGATCGAGAGTCAAGATCGACTATTCAATTGGATGGTAGCAACTGGCTGAAAATAGCTTCAGAAGCAAGTGGCCCTCCTGATATATATATATATATATTATAGGGCAGCCAGCATCCATGTTTCAGTGTTTCTGTTCAGACAAATCTCTAAAACTTATTCATTATTTGGAAGCAGCTATGAGCCTCTGTGAGATGTATAATGTGATCCCTCCTTTTGGTGTTTGCGCCACTTGTTGAAGACAAAACATCCACCGACGATCCGTTTTCCTCGCCGGAAAAAAGGGCGATCGTTTCAGTCACGGATTGATCTGATCTACTCGCGACTTGAGAGCTCGGGACTCATGCTGGAGATGATGTCACTGAACTGATTCGCAAGCTCTTGTGGCTCGAACTTGAAAAAGTACCTGAGTACTGCTGCGCTGTGCAGCTAGGCTTTTCTTGGAAGTCTGACGAACAAGTTATCCATTGTTGGAGCCCGGGAAGGTGTTCTACATTGTTCATAGCCTTCAATCCAAAGTGATCCACTGGTCACACATGCTTTGAGCGCCAGAATTGTTGAGAGCAGACCTGTTAGAGGTTTTGCACGTACGTGGAAAGCTTTTACCCTATCCTTCAAACAACCTCAAAGAACAAAAGAACTGGTTGTGTGGTCTCAAATTCAATACTTCACTGACATTCCTTGGTAAAGAACCATATCAAAAATCAATGGCTTCTGCACAATCCCAGGAATCTCGTAATCTCGTCCGGTCCTGCTTCTCGCCGGTCTGTCCTGTCTCCGAGGTGCAGCTTCTTCTCAGCATCTTCCTTCTCAGCCCGGCCGAGCGCGCGGGAGGTGGCGCGCGAGAGGCTGGAGGCCCTCTTCCGGCGACGCTTCACCTCCAAGGACAAGATGCCACTGGAAAGAAGGGAGCACCTGGCAGGAGAGTCCTTGAAGTCAGCAAAAGGTTGTTTGTGTTTTATGATTGGAAACAAAACGGCTGAAACGGCTGGAACTGGAACTCATCTTTGGGCCCACATGAGAGGAGCTGCTCGCATGATAGAACAATGAAGCAAAGTGAGACTGGCAGACTGGTTCGCCTCGGAAACTAACTCTAAAGAGATGGCTTCACGGACGGTGTGCAAGGCATCGTATTTCTGGTGCCTTCATGTTTAAGCTTTAAACTATATAAACTTAAACACATCTTTGGGGATGACTACAATTTGGGTATTCCCATCGCCAGTAACAGTGGATGATGATGGTTGGTAAAGGCCTACTTTTTTACCGATTGTTGCTGGTCATGGGATACACCATGATACACCCTAACATACCCCAACGACTATAGGTGACTATCGTGTTGGGCTCGGGGTATCCAACGTGTTGGGTGGTGGATGGGACGCCTTTGGAAAACTCGTTTCCTGATTCCTACCAGGAAAAGGGGATACCGCTTCCACGTTTGTTGGATTGAAGGGTTGCATTCCCAGACGCTCCATGGGACTGGCATATTTACATGCATTGGGGTGGTTGGGATCAATGTAAGCATATATGGCATACATGGAGTGTCTGGGATTTGGTGATATTTTGGGGAATTCTCTTCTGGAACAACAGGGCTTGAAACCGTTGTACACGCACTGGTTTCTGGGGTTCGTCCACGGTGCTTTTTGATCCAAAAGATTCCAAAAGTGGTCTTAACAGCAACTCCTACTGCCACTGCCATCCACCGACCTTAGTCCAGCAGTCCAGCATGGCAAATTTCTGGTGTATATCATACTTCTCTGTCACTAATTCAGTTGGATTTTTGTTGAGAGCATCCCCACCTTTCGACATCCTCGAGCAGGTTCACCACGGTCTTCACTTGGTCCATAGAGCCTTTTTCGTAGATCAAGAGCTGGCTCCCGGTGATCAAAAGGCTCCTGCTATCATGCGTCTTCCAGCCCTGCACACCCGTGGTCAACCTCTCTACCTGGCAAAGGCGCGTTTTGACCATTAAACATGACTAAGTAATTCTATAGTTGATGTTTTGAGGAGTTGTTGGTGAACACGGATGTTAGATGGGGAAGACAAGTGTCAACCTGGTTCACTTTGAGCTGATCATCATGCGTCGTCCGCAAGCACCCATTATGTAATGTAAAGCACCCATTATGTAATGTAAACACTTAAAATTGGTAGGCTCTGCTCCAAAATAATGTCAACCCCGGATTAACAACCCCCCCGCCCACATGGAAGGTCAACAAGGTCAACAAGGTCTGAGATACCACTCATAAGGTCCACACCCCCCTGAATCATATGCTGTGAGCTTGAGACCATTGGACCATAAAGGTTTGAGAGGAGGTGAGCTGATGAGCATGAGATCAGGGTAGATACTGTGGGAAGTAATGGGTTCATATAGGAACGAAGTAGCCGTCGTAGTAGTCGTAGTAGCAGCAAGAGTAGCAGGGGTAGCAGCGGTAGTAGTGGTCGTCAAAAGGTTAAACAAACACAAACGAAGGGCCAGGGACACAGGATCAAATCAATAAGGGGTAATAGGGTAGATTCTTGACGGGGACAAGCCCTTGTGGAGGTACCCTTAGCGATTCTCAAATGAATGTTTTCGGATTGCTTTTGAAAGCAGGAAGTTTATAGGCCCTGAGCCGTAGGCCCTAGACATTCTGCTGGAATATTAATAGATATTAATAGAAAGCCAGTAGTAAGTAGGAGTAGTAGGAGGTGGTGGTAGTAGTAGTAAAATGGACCAGCTGGTTGTGTCTCGGATCAAGTGGATGGGTTCTAGTGCCCAACTAAGTTCATGGCGAACTTGGCCACCAATAACACTTTTAATCTACACCATTTTCTGAGGCTTTCTAGGCTTGGATGAACTGGGAGGAAATATGAATCCCGTCTTGACATTCACTCATTTCAATTATATACAAAACAACCCTCGGCTCGAAGTGCGCCTCGGCTCGAAGACACCCTTTGTGCAAGAAGTCCGGCACCGTGGCCGCGCGCACCTCGCGCAGGTCCGCACGGGCCGGCGTGCCGGCGCCGTCGGAACAGCCGTGAGGAGTACTGGAGGTTCGTGTCTCCAGGCAGGGCTGCGCCAGAAATCGTCCATGTGGCGATGCACTGGTGGAGGGCGTCCCATAGCCTTGCCGTGGAAGAACTGGTGCAGAGCGCGAAGCTGCTGGAGCCTCTTCAAAGGCATCGGAGAAGGGATTCGTGTCTGGCAGTTGATCATCCGGAGCTCTGGCAAGATCCAGCTCATCTGTCTCAGGCTGCCTTTCCCAGGGAGCTGGACCCAATGATTTATGATGCCAGGAGACGCGTCCTCTCAGGGTTGGGCTTCAACGATTCAAAGTTTCATCATACTGTTCAGCTGACCCCCCTTTCAGCCGGATCCCTCAAATACCATACATTCACCGCCTTCTTCCAATTTGTTGGATTTTGGCGGGGACCCAACTGCAAACCAATCCCCAGAAAGGTTTTGCACGTGATCCACCTTTTTTTGGGTAGGTCAGTAAGGCAAGCTGTTGGGATCTCTTCCCGGGCGTGGCCCGTGGCTGTCGACACCCTCCCATGTTCTCGACTCAGTTGGGGGTCCTAATCCGTTGCAACAAGCGACTCAGATCACAGATTCTTGAAACCCAAGGCTCATCTAATCGATGTAATATGACCTAATTATCCACCAACGAACAAAAACGATCCTTTCATCTATCACCCTCTTGCACCTTGGTTTGTTTTTCCATCTATCACCCTGGTTCATTTCACAATTGTCTGAACTCTACCCGAAAAAACATCGGCCTCCTTTGCCCACGTGCGAAATCCACCCGGCCGCCGGCAGCTCCGACACCAATTCCGCGGGCACGGGAGGTGACGTGGCCGTGCGCCCTGCGCCGGCCACGCACTCCGCGACCGACTCCGTTGGCTTCGGCGTCATGGGCGGCGACAGGGGTGCCGGTAGAGAGCTGTGCCGGGACCCGCGCACGGCCCGAAGCGCATGGCTGGTGGCCCGCACTAAGGCGGAAAGGCTGCTGGAACGTCGTTTGGTGTCCGGAAAAGCAAAGAAACAGGCGGTGTGGCAAGGCTGCTGACCCGGAGGACTGTTGGCGTCTGGCTCAGGTAAAGCACGACCTCTGCCTTGTGGCTTCAGTCAATGGTCCAAGGATTCTGTGAGGAGTGAACAACATTTGATGGAGAGAAAAGGCTTTAAGAGAAACACAAAACAAGTTTTGACTTGCTATGACTGGTAAGAGCAAGCTGGCCTATGTGTTTGACAGGGCCAAAGTGTAAAGGCTAACAAATACCAAGGTGACCTGAACTCGGGAAGTTCGGTTGCTTCGTCCCAAAAATCATCGGATTGGACATCAGTATGGATAAGTCACTTCTGAGTTGATTCGATATGTGTAACGTCCAAATTCGCAGTAGCAAGTATATTGCCGACTTTGGAAGGGCGAACCCACTTGTTAAAAACAAAAAACGATACCATCACCAATCATCACTAGGTCAGCGATGCAAGGAAAAAACATATATGCCTACCTTTGATTCCACCTTTTTTGGGGTCCAAGTCCTACCTTCTCAAGTTCGGTACAGCAGGGACTCGTTTGTGGCACCTAGTATACGGATACCATTGTCTCCAATCACCGGACCTCAGGGAGTGGCAGTGGATTCATAAGGAATCAAAATCTCTCGAAAGGGCTCGCCTGTCGCTTCGTGCCGCTGTTCCGCTTCATCCTCGGGATCGCTGAAGTCGCCCAATGGCTCATCGGTCAGTGCAAGCGGCGAGGCCCGGGTCTCGCGCGAGGTGATGTTGGCCAAGGAGGGCAAGTGATGTGGGAAGGAATCGCCAACACCTCAGACAAGAAGAAATTGGTTTTCCAAGAAACGGGTTTAATGAGAGGCACTTTGAAAGTAGGCTGAGGGAAAAAAAATATGGTTCCCCAAACAGTTCACTGTCGTTAGGCAGCTCCCCTGAACCCTGTGCCCGGGTGTTGTCTTCCTTGTCCTCTTCTTGTCCTGCTGTTGTCCTCCTGCTGCCTGTTGGCCGCACTGGCAAACCCTGTGGCCTGCCCTTATCCTCTTGATGTCATCCTGCTGACCTCTAGCCACACTTGCCGACCTTATGTCCTCCTCTTGCGCCGGTGATAGCCTTGGCCGCGCTGCAGACCCTGCCTTCTCCGCCTTGTCCAGGCCTTGTCCGGGTCTGCGTGCTTGGCCGCACGGACCGGTTCCGCGCCTCTCTTCTCCGCCGGGCTTGTCCAGGTCTGTCTGTCCTTGTCCGCATTGTTGGCCCTTTTATCACCGCCCTTTCCGAGCTATGTCCCGCTTGCCCTTGCTCCACCGCCTTGTCCAGGTATGTTGCCGTGTGGCTATGAATGCAACAGTGATACAGCGTTTCGAGTTTGATATCATCCTCGTCGGCTTGTTTCATCACATCATATATCCCCTGGTTTCTGCACATGTGAACTGGGAATCAGGAACATGTGTTTTCAAACAGTTATATATGGGAGTTGATCTAAATTCCTTTATCCGGGATCCGTCATTTTCGCCAAAAAAAAAATTACTTTCGCCAAACTTTCGCCTTCCTGCGTTTTATCTTTCGCCGAAGTACGTTGTATTTATGTGTGCCATGTATGTTGTGTTTTGTTCACGTCAATGGCTTCTTCTTTACTGGCAAACACAAAATAGAAATTTCACTGTTTGTCAGCATGTGTCTTCTACTTAACTGTTGACACCCTGTACGTCTCTTTTGTTTCTCCTGGGTGTCAGCAAGAGTCAAAAATGCAAGAATCACTGTAGTAGCCGGTCACCCAAACTTACTCATAATGGGCTGGGGGTCAGATGTGGCAGGGTGAACTTTCGCCAATCTTGAGCTGAACTTTCGCCAAACTTTCGCCTTTTGCGGGGTAGAGCTTTGTGGCAAAAACCCCTGAAAGCAGGAGCAGGAATAGTAGGAATAGTAGGAATAGTAGTAATAGTAGTAGTAGTAGTAGTAGTAGTAGTAGTAGTAGTAGTAGGTAGTAGTAGTTAGTAGTAGTTAGTAGTAGTTAGTAGTAGTTAGTAGTAGTTAGTAGTAGTTAGTAGTAGTTAGTAGTAGTAAGTAGTAGTAAGTAGTAGTAAGTAGTAGTAAGTAGTAGTAGTAAGTAGTAAGTAGTAGTAAGTAGTAGTAAGTAGTAAGTAGTAGTAAGTAGTAGTAAGTAGTAGTAAGTAGTAAGTAGTAAGTAGTAAGTAGTAAGTAGTAAGTAG